CCCTCCATCAGTTTTCTTCTGCTTATCTGGGGCCTGGTCGTAGGGACAGTACCCTAAGCAGAAAAGCCCAGATCTCCATCTCCTTAGGCATCTCCTCCTTATCTGGGGAAGTGCAACACAATCCTGGTCCAGCCGAGAGATGTAACCTTTCCAACATGTCTTGAGTCTGCCCAAGGGCCGGGGTTCGGAAAGAAATGCCAGGGAAACCTCACCCATGTGGCCCCTGGAGGCATCCTAGTCAGATGCCCGAACCTCCTCAACTGGCTCCTTTCGATGAGGAGGAGTGGCAGCTCTACTCTGTGCCCGTCTCAAATGACTGAGCTCCTCACATTATCACTAAGGGAGAGAGACCAGTCACCCTTTGGGGAAAGCTCATTTCTCCAGCTTGTACCCACAATCTCGTTCTTTCCATCATTACCCAGAGCTCGTGACCTTAGGTGAGGGTGGGGGACGTAGATCGACCAGTAAATCGTCAGCTTTGCTTTTACACTCAGCTTTCTCTTCACCACAACAGTCCGGTGCAGCGTCCACATCACTACAGACCGTCAGAGCCATTTGTTAACCTCTCACTCCCCTCACTCGTGAACAAGACCCCAAGATACTTAACTTCCTCCACCTGGTGCAGTAATTCGTCCCTGACTTAGAGTGGGCACTGCTCACTTTTCCAGCTGAAATCCGTGGCCTCTCATTTCAAGGTGCTGATTCTCATTCCTGCTGCTTCACATTCAGCTGTGAACTGCTCCAGAGTAAGCTGGAGGTCTTCGCCCGATGAAGGCAACAGGGCCACATCATCGGCAAAAAGCAGTGACGAGATTCTTAGACCACCAAAGTGGAAGACTTCCACCACAAAGCTGATTAATCTAATGTACTTTTAAAATCTGGAATTTTAAAAAGACATTTAATATGATGCATTGATAGCGGAATAGGTTTCCACACAAAAAGAAAGAAAAAGCATTGTAAATTATGAAATTGTGTATGCTAATTGTTATAGCTGCATTTCAATCCCACAAGTGGTTCCACTCTCATTTCTAATGTCCTCAGGCAGTCTACATCACAGCCATCTTGCCATATATAGTGCTGGCCATCTTCCTGATCCGAGGACTGACTCTTAAAGGTGCCCTGAGTGGAATAAAGTTCCTCTTCACACCAGATGTATGTTTCAAATCTTGATATATTTTTTTTTAAAAGTATGAATTTAAAGGTCAGAAATACATGTCAGTGCATGTCTCCCTCTTGCAGGTGGAAGAGCTGATGAATCCAACTACTTGGTTGGATGCAGGTGCCCAGGTCTTTTATGCTTTTGGCATAGCGTGGGGAGGGCTGATTTCCTTCTCAAGCTACAACCCTGTTCAGTAAGGAACTGCACTTTTAGCATTTTGATCACTTTAATTTAATTTCTTTAAAAAAAATAGGCAAAATAAGTCATTGAAAAATGTTCCAAAAACCAAAGTCAGGCTGTTGTTTCCTTGTTCTTTTTGTACATTTAATTTCCAAAGCAACAACTGTGTGCAAGACTCTGTGATCCTGTCTGTGGTAACTGGCCTCACCTCAGTCTATGCAGCCACAGTGACCTACTCCATCATTGGCTTCAGGGCCACTGAGAAATATGACACCTGTATCAACGAGTGAGTAAAGCTTATTTTAAGGCTTTGAAAAAGTTTACTAGTTTTTGGTAAAAGGCACTAAACTTACTGACCAGGAATTTAAAAACCCTGTGACGTCCAGGTACCCCTACCCCTTAACACCATGCTTTCAGCAAATGTAATTTGCATCTTTTGAAAAAAATTTCTCCCAAGTCTTGTAAAAAACAAACATTCTGGCTTTAGCACAACAGAACTATTAGCTTCTTTTCTGCAAAACATTGAGTTAAGGTTGTAAAGGTTTTTATCCTCTTTGTTGACTTCACAGTTCAGTTATAGGTACAAAGGTTTTAAAGTCAGTCTAATGAGATCTTCATCATTGCAAGCAGTCTGCAAGGAGACATGACACCAGCTGGTTTGTCAGTCAGCACACAGCACCACAACATCCTTATATATTCACATCAAGCTACGGCAAAATATGTGTTTA